CGGACCTATCATGTGTGTAGATTTTAGATTAACCGCCATTTCTAGGGCTTCTGAAATTGTAAGACACAATGAGAAATATGAAAATTAAATGATAATTTTACTCTTCATTAATAGTAAATAAAAGCCTTAAAAATTAGAGTTGGACGCGAAGCGGATATCCGAAAAAATGTAATATTTGTGATCCAATTTATTTTTGTCGTATAACTAATAATCTGATTTGCTTTGTTTTGAAATCTTTCGGATCTCCAGAACTACATATATTCAGATTTTTTTGGATATTTACAAATTTTCAGGTATTCACGGATATCCGCTTTAAATAAAACATAATAACTAAAACTTTTTTCTAAAAAATTGTTTTAATATAATATTTAAACTAACTAATGAATAAATATGTGAAATTATCTCATTTTATTCGATATAATTAAACAAAAAAAATAATAGAAGATTAAAATGGTGAAAAATAAAACATATATTTTTAGTATTTAAGTAAAAAAAGTAAAAAGTAAAATATATTTCAATTAAAAAACTAGTATCTACCTATTTTTCTTATAAATATTTTCGTCAAATGTATTTAAAATTTCTAAAACTATAAATATACGTTATAAATCTACCATATTACATGTATATATAAGTAATATACGGATCAGAACAGATATTTAAATTTTTAAAATTAGTATTTGTGATTTGCTTCGCTTTAGACGGATACTAAATTTTACTATTTGCTTTGCTTTAATTCATAATGGATATCTAGATTTTTCGGATCGAATCAAAGCGAACACCAAATCCGAGCAAGATCTAAGTGATAATTTGTCCAGCCCTACTAAAGATAGGTGAGAGACCTCGAACCCGCCCCTAGTCTGAGCCACTAGCCTATGAAGCTCATTCGGGTTTATAAGAAAAGAAAACAAATATAACGTCTATTATCATTTTTTATTATCAACTTAATTATATTACTTAAAAACTTTAAAATAAATCTCCGATAAAATCCTAGTTAATATTAGATTAACCAGGCGCTAGATTTTACTAAATGTCCGATCAGTGCCTAGTTATACAAAATAGAAGTAGGTTATTTGATACGTTTGTCTGGCTATCCAGTTTCCGAATCAAATATGATACCACAAATTTATTATCTGTAAGAATAGGATCGGTAATGGACATCCTAAAAGTTAAATTTGTTTGCTCCGTAACCATCACTATTTCTTAATGATCATGTTATCATGATTAATTACAACACCACCTACAAATCTGTTCTGAATGTGCAATAAGATCAAAATGAGCATGCAACTAAGGGACCCATTTACCAAAATGTCATACCTAATCCTGACCCCAACTTCTTACATTTAATATATTAATTACAAAATATTAACTTCTCTAACAATTATTGCGGTCCATTCCATGGTTTCAGAAGTGTCCACGTTATCATCTGCAATTACACTCCATAGTTATTGCGCGTCACATTAATATATTAAATGAAAAATCTTTCTTAATCTCCTTTTTAGTACACTAATCAGTAATCACTAACTTATTATGATTAATATATAAAATAAGTATATCTCAATCTTCACAGAATCACAAATTTGTGATAGACAATCTCTACAGTGCATCATTT